AAGCAAAAAACCGCGTATAAACAAAACGGTGCTAGCTCAACAAACATTTCCCCGTGGCAAGGTTTACAGTTTGAAGCAATTTTTTCAGCATAAAAAAACAGCATTCCGACACATTCTGACAATTTTGAATATAACCATTATATTAAATATTTAAATATTATAAGAAAAGAAAATTCTTCGATTTTTCATAGAAAAGTACTAAATATGCAATGATTACAACTATTAAATATTGCAATAATATTTTCCAACATTAAACAAATAACATTCAGCTATTCATTATTCAACTAATCAGGCTTGAGGTTCTGTTCGATAAAGCAAATATCGCATTCTCGGCCCTACACACATACGTATATAGCAATATATCAAATTACAAGTTCGTAATATTCAAACTAACTTCCCTTTTAGCAAAAGTACTAAAATACATTAATTTATTAAACTAGGTCTATCTAAAACAAAGAGATTGACAAGCTGCGATAATCTGAATCTTTGAGAAACATGAATTTGATCATATTTTACACTTAGCGTAATCCGATCCAGTCGGTTAGTAAGTGGGCTTAACAGAGAAATCGATATTTAGAGAAAGAGCGAGATAGAGAGTTAAGGATTTTCGAGCGGACATTGAAAGAGGTTTTAAGGTTCCAAGGCTCCAAGGCTCAAAACTCCTGCGTGGATTAAACATAATTGACGGCATAATAATAATAAATTTATAATGGAATAATGTTATCTTAAACATTTAACTAAGCTTTAAAACATTGAAACAGTTTTTTACAATTTGGTTTCAATAAATTTCTCTCCTAATTGGCTAAAATGCAGAATAAATGAATATAAATATTTTCCATGAAGAAAAAGTGCTGAAAATATATATTGAATTGCAGCCTTATTTCTGGCTGAAATTTTCATGTCTCAATTTCAGTTGATCTGAAATTTCAGAACAGTTGCGAAACTCGCGCATATAGGGTTCAATTTTTTATGGCTACTCACTTGATATTGCTCGAATTTCCGGCCGGGCTGGCAAACAGCCAAGATAACCAAGTCTGTGTGAGTGTGTGTGTGTAAAAGTGTTGCATGCAGTTAATTGAAATTGTGCGAATCTTGCTGCGCACACGGCTAGATGGTTGTATCAAAGTGTTAACATGCAGTACTGTACTTTGGGTCCCTCAGCCAAAAAGTATGCTACAAAATGCTGCTGCAAATGTTTTATTGCCTGTGAAAAGTTGTGAGCGAGCTGCCTGCGTGTGCCTGTGTGTGCCTGTGTGTGTATTGGGCGTTGGCCTGCCTTAGCATATGGCGACACGCTTCACATGAGTGTGTGCTTGGGTGTGTGTGTTTGGCTGCGTGTTATTCTTTGTGTTATGTTTTGTTATTAACTATGACATTGTTCTCTTTCGGCTGCTGTCAACTGCTCGAAGCATTTAAATTAACATGGTTATACCTAGGGCTAGTGACAAGTCTTAACTGCATTAAAACTGAGCTGCCATAAGTGGCTTACATAAACACACACAGAAGGACAGGCACACACACGGCACACACACACTTTCATCATTTTGGGCGCTCGTCGTTGACCGTTTATTTTTAGGCGAGAAAACAACAACAGCAACAACAACAACAAGAACAACAACACAAACATGGAGCAGCGAGTGGACTATCTTTTAGTTAGGCAAACACTATAGTGCACTAGTGTGTGTGTGTGTATCTGTGTGGGTGTGCGTGTGTGTAACTTGGGCTAGCCCAATTTGCAACTTTAACTCGATATGCGGTTGTACGCAACCAAGCAGAGAAGCCTTAGGTAAATCGTCTACATTTCATATTTTTTGGGCTTCTTACAACATGCCAGCGACTATGTGTGTGTGTTTGTGCTAGCTTGTGTGTGTTTGTGTTTTCTTTTTGTGTGAGTTTGTGTGTGTCTGTGTGTGCTTGTCAACTCAAAGGCAAACAAATCAACAAAAGTTTCATAGAATCCTGCAAATTGGCTAACGCTTCGGCTTTTAATAAACAGGCTTAAACTGCTTTTGGAATTTCCTAGAGGAATATCAAAGTTTGGTGTGATCAGAAGCGAAACTCATAAAAAGCCAAATGTAATATGATAATCACGCTGAGTGCCCGAAAACAGCGACAATAGCAACACCCGCAATACAAACTCACACACACACACACACACACTCCACTCAGTGACCCGCAACAACAACAGCCCAGCTGCCCTACCTAACCTAACGGGGGCGGGAGGGTGCCCATTGGGGCAGTCGGGTTGGAACCATTTAAAACAATTTCTTTTGATTCTTTTTCTTTGTATTTTTGCGGTGGTCGCGCTATTTGCTTAAATGCTTATGTCCAATTTAACTTGGTCGAATTGTTAAGAGGGCAATAGCAAGGGCGAGGCACAATCATGCTTCCGACGGCAACAGGATGACTCTATTAACTTGCCCTCGCATTCGCTGCTCCAATACAACTAAGTATAACGCGTATTTGGCCAAAGTCGATTACACGCTTGTGAGATACTCTCTACTTCTCTACTTCAATGCATATTTTATCACTTTCCATAAGCGAACGCAAACAAAGCTCTCTTTACGCTACGCTGTAAAATAAAGACGCATTTTTATTCATTGCCTTACTATGCGATTCTCATGAATGAAGGTAAGGCTTAGATGTAGCTTACGAATGTTGTGTTAACAATATGTGCTGGCAAGATAATAAACTTTATCTCTGCTCAGAGATACTCTTTTTCGAATTTACTCCTATAAGCTCTCTCCCTCTCTCTCATTTCTATCCTCCCACCTTCTCCTGATCTAACCCGCTCTCTTCTTCTTTTCTTATTTTAGTGATAATGGAAAGAAAATAGACGTGCGTATGCATATTTAATTTAATATTTATACGAATTACTTTATAAATAGATATTTACTTCTGTTAAGGTAATACAGACCTAGGCATGGTTTAACACACCTAGCATATGTTCCATTTAAATGGTGCAACTCGCCACGCTTGGGTTGATATAATGGGTGCAAACTGGCATTAAACAGAAATTGGAATTCCATTTAGTTGACTATGAATCGTTCCTTGAAGGAAACTCAAACTAATCTTAGCTGAAAAATCCAATTTATTTTATATTTCTGAAGCAATTTCCGCAAAAGACCCATTCATTTCCAAATAGATTTACATTTAGTGCTCAAATAAAAAAAATGAGTGCGTGTTGCAAAACTCTGCAATATTTGACGTCAAGTGTTGAAAAACATCTAAAAGCAAATGAATGGAGCACTAGATTGAATACTTTTCTTTTGCGTCCAGTATTCTGACAGTTGCTCGAAAAATAGTACATAAAACTTAATTTGAGATTTTCGGAACGCCGTCGGAATTAAAAGCTGCAAGTAAAACTACGCGGTGGATGCAACTAAAAAAAAAATGAAATAAAATAAAATAAAATGAAGAAAAGATATTAATCGGGAAAATGCAGACTTAGTTGATAAACTTTTAATCCTTTCCACAGAGTAGAAAAAATCGCAGTCCTCTAAAGATTTTTAGTTGTTTAATATTGCTCCAATTTTAATTGTGCTATGTTGCGGCGGCATGTGTAAGAAACTCTCAATGCAGCAACTCACGTTGTTTGTTGTTGTCCTAACGCTAATCGTGGCGGTAAGCGGATACCCTTTCCTCCACACTCACAAATCATTGCGATAATGTGCCGTCCTGCCGGCTGGAAATGACGATCTGGACGTTGTTTGGCTTTATAATACTCATATTCGACTGGACTTCTAGTATGTCTTGCGTAAGTGTTGGATAATGTTTCGATTTATATCCTTGTAGAGGGTACTATTACCACGATATCCCAACTCTGTCTGTCTGTTTTCCCGAAATGTTCGAAAGATCTCACTTTCTATTGCAGGCAGCACATGTGCCAGAACTGGTCGAATCGGATGAGTATATCATATAGCTGCCTTAAAAACGATCAGTCGAATTTGAAGTTTCTTTATAAAAAGTTGTTTTGTTTTTCAAAATATCTTGACGGAAGTTGGCATATTGGACTTACACTCTGCTCCTTGCAAGGGACTACGCAAATATAGGGCCGACAAGGAGGACTTTATTCTGGCCATGGCGTATTTTGGGAAAACTTAAAGCAATGGGCAATTATCTAAAAAATTAAGAGTACACGTAGACCAACAAACAAGTGGAAGAAAAAGCTATTAAGCTATCCTGAATGCAGCCGAGGCCCAAAGAAGTCAAATGCAGACTTGGCCAATCCCATTTCTATGGCCAATTCACTTGAGTTTTAGGTCCAGTTGCTATGCCCACTTGGCGCCTACTCGAGTCGCTGCGGCAGCACAAGAGGCTCGCTGGCTTCCATTTGCCACCCAAGGCGAGGCAGCGGTCAACTAAACAACTTGGCCGCATTCAAAGCTGCTGTTGCTGCTGCTGCTGCTGCAAATTGGCAGTTGGTCTGTTTCGCATTCATGACACAGACACACACCGCAACCCCGGCTCTGCCCCTGTTGGCATACCCTCCTACGCGTCGCGGCATTTTAGTTGCCTTCGGGGCCACAGTCTTGATTGGCTTTGGTTTGCTTCGACGCATCTTCATTGCTATCTCTCTATTCGTGGTTGCATGCAACAAGCTGCAAATGCTTGACCTTAACGGTTCATGGTCAATGTCAAGGCGCAGTTTGCGGCGATGCTCTTCAGACAAGTTTAATAATCAATTTTATTAAGTCAACATTATCAACAGACAGCACTCAGAAGATTTTGATATTGTTTTTTTTCTTTAAATACACAACAAAAAGTCCTGCATAAATAAACTCCGATCGAATCTTATTTAAGTTTTAACTAGTTTCTATTTTAAAATCTTAAATTAAAATAAAATTGACGAAAGTAAGAGAGTTACAAGAAGTATTTAAGTAAACTAATTGCAAACTTATTAAAACTAGTATATAAAATGCTTTAAATCAATTGTGGCACGCCCCAAGCGAATTAAACTTTAATTACAGTTCGCTTGCAGCGCCGAAAAGTATGCAACAGACTTTTTTTTAATGCTTGCAACTTCCACTTCAATGTATTATTTAAATCATTTAAAAACACATCATAATATTTGCAATTGTTTTAAGATGACAGCAATTTGACAGCTGCCATCAACGGAATTACTAGAAGTTCTTATAATAATATATGTATTTATGTGTGGATGTGTGTGTCGTGTGTGTGTATGAAACTGTCATTTTATAAGATGAGCATTTTTATGTCATATGTATTTATGTGTGTATGTGCGTGTGTGTGCGTGTGCGTGTGCGTGGGTGCCTGCTTGTCACTGACAAATGCGAAATTAAAAACGCTTCTTAGCTAGCAATTGTACGCATTAAAAATGTCATTACATGGATTTCCGTTTCCGGTCACAGATTTTAACGGCTCGTCATTGTCGCGCCATTGTTGCCCGTTGCCCATTGCTGCGACAATGTAAACAATAAATGATTATCACACTAGCACAGCAGCAACACACACTCACACACACACTAGCTGGCACATTTTGATATTTATGTATTCCGTTTATATGCAGACAAGAGCCATTGTGTGCTTCTTATTGTTTTTGTGCCTGCGCCTTGACCCGTGCATGTGTGCGTGCGTGTCTGTCTGTGTGTTGGGCAATGCAATACAAAAGAGCAACATGTTTATTGTGTGTCGAGCAAATGATTTAGTAGCCTGCGCACCTGATAAGCAGCTTGCACCACTCTGCTGATAACAGACGCCGTTTTACGCGCCAAACAAAATGCCGGCATACTCTCACACCCACACACACTCACACACACACACGCACACTGACACTTGAACGAACAAAGGAAATGACCGTCAATTTTAACGAAATTTTTATGAGTAGCCCACATTAAAAAAAAAAAACAAATAATATATGAAAGCGCAAATCTCTTAAATACATTTGCCTCCGCTCGCCTGCTTTGCCAGCTAACTGTATAACAATATCATTGACAACAATAGAAAACAACAAAAAAAACAAGAAGAAGAAGAAGAAGAAATCTGGATCCGTTGCAACTGTTGTTTTACTGTTACTATTTGAATTGAAGCGTATAACAAGCGAATAACACAGCAAGAACTTAAAGCGTTTAACGGTAAAAGCGTCGAGCGTCGCGTTAACCGAATATCTTTTGCATGTCAACACGCGCCAAAATGTTGCCAGCGACTGACGACAACGACGACGCTGGCAACTGATGAACACCGCAACAGTATGCGCACCCACGTCCTGCGATGGACCAGGGCGGCAGTAACGGTCGAGGGGTGTGTCGATTCATTGAGAAAAGCAGAAAAGCTGGCTAGCAGAGCGCCAAGGGACGGACACAACAAAAATCAGATGGTTCTCATTGGCATTATTCGCCTCAAGTTCTCGCAGCGCAGCTGACTGATGCTGTGCCCCGCTACATTGCAGCGGCAGCTTTGTAAAGCTTTCGGGCAGCTTTAAAGCTCACGCCGCACGCCAACAACTGCGCCTGTGCACCGGCTGCAGAGCGGCGCCAACAGCGGCAAAGTTTGAACACCTGTTGCATGCGTTTAAGTTTTTGCTAGCATATCACAAGTAGGGTATCACAAGTGTGAGTTTTAATTAAGATATTTTAAATGTACTGAGTACTCGTTTCACCTACCTGTGCACATGTCAAGTATCGATACCTGGCTCCATTCCCGTTAAGCGACAAAGTTTTGCCTGCTTTCGTGACTCTCAGCTGGCTGCTGTCTGCACAAAGCTCAATTTGTTGCAGAGCTTTCTGTTGATAACCCAGCGAGCATTATTTTGCATTCAACAAAGTGTGCTTTTGATTCGAGTGCAGATTAATTTCAAAAGCCAAGTTGAGCTTATTTTATAATAATATACTATATAAATATTAATTAATACTTTTCATATTGGAGCACAAAATTATTGTTTTTGTCTATAAGAGACAGTTACAGTGATAAAGGACAAATTCGCATATTCGAATTTTTTTTATTTACGATTTCTTAGGTCTCTTTCATTAGCTCATGAGCCTATTTCAACACAATGTCTCAGTAGATTAGTTGTTTCAACAAACGTATATATATTTTTTAGCTAGCAGCTATTCCTAACTATGCTTCTGGCAAATAATATTCGCATTTTTGTTTAAAATGTAAATATATCCTCCAGTTGGCAGCATATTTTTAACTTCATATTTATTCCTGATTTCTGACAAATTCCCATATTCGAAATATCATCAATGGATGCGTTCTTTCAGATTATATAAATATATATCCTCCAGCCGCATATTTCTAACATCATGCTCTTGTCAGCTCAAAATTATTGTTTTTGTCTATAAGAGACAGTTACAGTGATATAGGACAAATTCGCATATTAAAATTATTTTATGTAAGACTTCTTAGGACTCTTTCATTAGCTCATGAGCCTATTTCAACACAATGTCTCAGTAGATTAGTTGTTTCAACGAACGTATATATATATTTTTAGCTAGCAGCCAGTCCTAACTATGCTTCTAGCAAATAATATTCGCATTTTTGTTTAAAATTGAAAAAAAATATCCTCCAGTTAGCAGCATATTTTTAACTTCATATTTATTCCTGATTTCAGACAAATTCCCATATTTGAAATATCATCAATGGATGCGTTCTTTCAGATTATATAAATATATATCCTCCAGTTAGCCGCATATTTCTAACTTCATGCTCTTGTCAAATAGCATACGCATTTTAGCTCAAAAATTATAATTTCTTTTGTGGTTTGCGTACGCAGCTGCTAGTTGTGTACGTGTGTGTGTGTGTGTTTAACTTGCAAATTTTAATTAATCATACGTCGTGTGTGCCGTCAAATATATATTTAAAGATGCTGCAGTATATTACATTGCTTGTCCAACAAAGCTTTCAATTAATTAACTCAGCTAACATATTTTAGCTGCAGCCTCTGCCACAGACGCTACTCATACGCCCCCCTCCCCCTGTCCCGCAATCCGTTTAGTCGGCTGCTTCAACTGCTACCAAAGGCAACGATCAACATAACAATTTGTAAGCAAAACATTGAAAAGGAAGCAAAACTTGCAAGTTTAATTAATGTGCTGGAACTAACTAAAGTTTGTCGTTGTTAGTTGTTGCCTTTGTGTTGTAAGCAATTGTTGCTACTATTGGACGCACATTTGTCGGTCGAAGTAAACACATAGTTGCAGGGGCATAGCAATTGTTGCTGCCACATGTGGCACAAGTCAGTTGTTTTTGGCACTTACCTCAATGGTTATGTGATGGCTGCGTGAGCGAAAGTTGTCATCGGTGCTGCGTAGGTTCTTTGAATCAATTTGCACATTGGTCTGCATTGTGAAGGATTCGTCTTGGCCTGCAGGATAAGATCAAGCAATATGAGCTCATTAGACAAGTGTGTCACAATTAAATGCCTGCACACAGAGACAGAGAAAGAGAGAGAGGGACAGAGAGAGAGAGAGAGAGAGAGAGAGAGAGATGTACGACTTTTATTTTTATGAGAATTTGTGAAATGCCAAGCGGCATAAGCAAAATATTCTCATACGACTGTCATCACATCGTGCACATCGAGTGCAGCTGAACGATGATTGGGGCATAACGCTCAATGGTGCGTGTCCTTGATAACTAAACATGACCGGAGCCAAGCACCTAACCCCGTACAGCCCGTACAACCCCAAATGCTATCATAAATCTAAGCAGCAGCAAAGTGGAGCCTGCCGCACCAAGTCATAGAACACATATGGAAGTTGGCATTTGCCACCGCAAGGCTTACAACCCAACGACTTCTGCTGCCTTTTAATTTAAAACCAAGTCAAGCAGAGCCAAATGGCAGCCCCAAGTCAAAGTGTCAGGCCAACTGGCCAAGTAAATGATGCTTAAATAACAACAACAAAAGGCAAGCTAAAGGGCTTCATATGCCAATGCTTGACTGGCAGTTACCCTTTTTTTTGGATTTTAATAAGAAAAAAAAAAGAAAAATGATAAAAATAAAATAAAATAATTATAATAACAAAATAATAAATATGAAAATCGCATAGAAAGGCGTGTTTACTGGAAGAGAGAGAGAGAGAGATGAGAGATATAAAAGGCCAAAGAAAACTGTTACTTAAAAGAAGAATAATGCTCGTGTTCGCATACAATTTATAGAAAAAGAAGGAGGGTGGGAAGAAGCGAAGGAAGACGGGCAGAGAAATGAAGTCAAAGCAAATGAGTGAGTAAGCTTTTTGAACTACTATGTTCAATACCAACTGAACATAAGCACTGAAAAACAATCAAATTATGAAGCTTTATCTGGGGGACATGAAAATCGCATAGAAAGGCACTTTAAAAAACTATTTCATTGGAGCAGCAGCAAAAAAGTTACAATTACCCCAATCCGAAATCAACCCACGAATTCCGTATTAACATAAGCACTGAAAAAAACCAAACTATAAAGCCTTATCTGGGTGGGGGGGGTCATGAAAATCGCATAGAAAGGCGCTTTATAAAACTATTTCATTTGAGGGGCAGCAAAAAAGTTGCAATTACCCTAATGCCAAATCAACCCAAGAATTCGGTTTTTTCCTTATTTTGTAATTAATTTATAATTTTCTAGCGTCAAGGCGAATACGAATTCCTTTTGCTTAAATATTTAAATATATTTGCCGTTAACTATATTGCATTCCGCTTTTGTTATATAGTTAATATTACGTCATATACTGCTGCCTTTTTAAAGAGCTGCTCGTAATACCCTGCAAACAAAAAAAAAAAACAAAAATATGAAGACAACAAAATATAAAAGGAAACGCCAAATTATGTGAGAAATTTACTGCTGCTGCTGTTGTAGCCGCTGCTGCTGCTGCTTCTCGGAGCGTACAAAAAAAAAATTAAATATATATATGCCTGGTATGTATATGAATATATATGTTCATAGCTGTGTGCGTGTGTGTGTGTGCTTGTGGATTGTCGCTGCTGCCTGCTGGCTGGCTCACAGCTTCTGCTCATCTTGGAAAAAAAGAATGTGCTGCTAATAATGTATGGCAAAAACCCATACAAAGATAGACAGAGATCAGCAATGAGAGAGAGAGAGTGCGAGAGGTAGAGGGGATACTTCCATTAATTTGGTCATATTGTGATTGGCAATAATAGCAGTTAACAGCCAAAGACATGGCAAATGCTTTGTGACTATTTGCATCGCGTATACGAATCGTGGGCCGCGCTCAAGCAACTGCCAGCTATAATTTACAGTCACATTTCGTTTACCACTGCAGCATGCCCCATGCGGCGCCTAGGCAACAATTTCAAATTTAATTTGCGCCTCTTTATTTATTCACAAGCAAAGTACAGCTAGGAAAGTGGGCCCCAGCCGGCGTTGCAACGTGGTAGCTTCGACTCTGCAGCCACAGGCTGCCTGGCTGCCTGGTTGGCTGCCTGGCTGCCTGGTTGGCTGCCTGGCTGCCTGGTTGCACTTTGTCCAAGCGGCGCATGCATCGTATTGCAAGTACCGCACGGCATCCGTCATTCCACTTCAGCGGCAAGTGACAGGCGTTGTTGTCGCCAGTGTCCTTTGCCAGGCTGCGGGGCGCTCCAACTTGCTGGCGGCTCAATTTGACTCGAGTCCCCGGCGCACTCTAGTACTCCACGGCTGGTGGGTCGTCAGCGACTAGAAGTTGGTTCCGGAACCACTCTAGGCAGTCTGCAGCTGGTTGTCAAACTGCTTGTGGCAGACAACTGCTGACGAGCTGCTTGGGATTGAAAAGAACACGACCAAGATGAAAGCAAGTAAAAACACTCGAATGTTGTGTGCTCGACTAGAATATACCCTACCTTCATCAGTTCTGCAATACAGTGTTATTATACATATATATTTTATATTATATATATTTGCTTCGAATATCAGAATCTATATGA